TTATTTAAATCAACTATAGTAATATCACTGTAATTTTATTAATTTATGGGACTGAGTGAATATTTAGGATATGAACGGATTCAAGAATTCAAATTAGCACGAGAAGGTTGCCTCTCTCTCTCTCTCTCTCTCTCTCTCTCTATATATATATATATATATATATATATATATATAGGTTTGAGCCACGCTACGTGTATAGATAGATAGTTCACAGATTCAATATACGGAGATGGGTTGGATGATTCATTTTTAAAGGGGAAAAAAATCATGTGAGAGTAGGGAATTGCTCCATATGGTTCGTTGGGTGATAGCGCATCCATTGGATATGACAGATGAAGATTCAAATGCGTTGTGTAAGTGCACTCATTTACCCTTTTGTCTCGTAAATTGATGTCATTGTAATGTGTTGTGTTCATACACTGAGCATGCACGAGGCCCTAGAAATTCATGTCGCCTAAACTTAAATCTGTTGTTATGGATCGGCTGAGTTGGATCATATTATCGAAATGCAGTTGGACCCATCAAAGCCGTTTGCAGTGCTGATTAGGCTGACTATCTGCTAAGGCCCCGTAAATATTAAGGTGGGGGATTAAAGTGAATTATGTTTTAAATTCTAATATTTTTGGGGTCAACTAATTATATTTTGATAAATCGAGTTTTAGTATATCAATATTGAACTCTTTTTGTAACTCGTAATTATTTAGAAAACTTTAACACGAGAAAAAGTTATTGGGGATTAGACTACATCGAGTTGAGTACAATTAAAAGAATAATAGGTTAATGGAGTTGGTGAAAACTTGCAATATTAATTAAGTACAATTCTTTTTCTCTTTTAATTTCTACACACGTTATTTATTTAAAACCAATATTATAATACAATTCAAATTTCTTTTTGAAACCAAGTACAAGTTGGCCAAGTGTCATATTTTTAATGTGATGATTTTACTAGGAAATTCGGTAGTAGAGTATACTACTAATTCTATTATTTGAAACTAATTCTTATTCAAATTTCTTGTATTACATAGTTTTTCAATTATAGTTGTATACAAACCCAATTGAGAATATCAGCTATAAATATTGCAAGAATTCCCATTATTTTCACCATAAAAATAGAAAAGAGGGCCATGGTAGATTTATCTGGAGAAAAGTTTTAAAATTCAATGTCACATCATATATACTTTAATATAAAGAAGAAACAATAGTATTAATTGAACAACTACTTTCATTTTTGTCATTTTCTATAGTATATGCGCCCAAATCATGATAAAATGTCTCTTAACTCATCATCTACCAAATTTGATGACTCTAACACCTAATTGCCATAGATGCCAAACCTTTCAAAGTCGATAGGATTATAATTTCGACTCTTGAAATAATTCCTAAACAAAGTTTATAATCCAATTCATAAATAATCAAATATAATTCTACTTAAAGAAACTAAAATCTTAAAATTAAATAAATCACAATAGGATGAAAAATATTATTTAATACTACCATTGTTGCAATATTAAATTGTAGTGAACATAAACAAGATCATCAAACCTTTGATGCTCGAGTCTATTTCTCTTTTTTGAATAAATATGTTCAAACATAGTCGAATTTCTCACGCAATCTAAAGAACTACATGTTTGACTTAATACTCGAATTGCAATGTTTGTAGGTTTGGTGCAAAATTACCATAATACATCCACCATTCATCTATGTAACAGCCAAAGAGAAAATAAAATAGATGTGTGTTATATAAACTAAAATCTGAGTTATATAATATAACAAAGTACATAACACGAGGTTAAAATTTCACTAGGAGCCATTCTATGGCGATCAGCTACAGTAGATTAATGTCTAAAGTCACCTTGTGCTTGCTTAAATAGTCTCATTTCACCCGTCAATATACTTCTTAAATCGAGTTGATCATAAGTATATTTCTCTATTACATCTAAAATTCTCGGAATAATTTGTATATGATTTTCCATATCATAATTATTATATTGAAAAGAAGGATTTAACCAATATCCAGTAGCATGGAAATTCTTACGAAATTGACTATCTCATCAGGTCTGAATAATTTGCAAATAAGGAGCAATTCTATTCTTCCTTTTTTGAAAAGAAGGATTTATATTGAAAAGAAGGATTTAACCAATATGATTTTCCATATCATAATTATTATATTGAAAAGAAGGATTTAACCAATATCCAGTAGCATGGAAATTCTTACGGAATTGACTATCCCATCAGGTCTGAATAATTTGCAAATAAGGAGCAATTCTATTCTTCCTTGTTTGAAATCTGCTTCCATCTTACCTTTTGCCAAATGAAAAACTTCATATAAGTAGCCCATTGAAGACTTTTCATCACTATCAACAATCCGTAGAGGGAGCAAATCTAAGTATTTCTTTTCCTCTAGTAAACTTCCTATATATGTAGAGAGAGAGAGAGAGAGAGTTTTGTTCAGTGAATTGATTTGGGAAGATTTCAATTTAAGGCGTGGGGTATCCGATAGTGATTGATTAGTAAAGATTTCAATTTAAGTGATAGAATAGGTGGAGTGGGTTGTGTGGGACGGGATGTATGGGTGCGATTTAATTACGTATTAATTAATTTCATTAAATTTCATTGTCACTTGATTTGTGAAATTAAAACTAATAATTTTTAATTTTGAATAGTATACTTTATATGTTGTGGTTTTGGATAATTTTCTCATAATTTAATTTATATTTTGAACAACACTGGGCCTAGTAAAATAGAGAAATGGGCCAGGCTGACCGAACGAGTTAAAATTGAAACCATCCTAATCCGACACATGGGCCAAAATCAATTGTCTAGCCTAATAACAAATGTGGCCCAACCCAAGTGGCCCGCTTACTAAAAAAATTTAAAACTAAAAGTAATTAAATAATTGGATCCTGTCTTAACAAATTTTTCTATTTAAATTTTTATACGACATTTTTTTTTTTAAAGATCATTTTTTTAGTTATAAACACTTGTTTCTCATCTACATTTTTCAGTCTTTCGTCTCACAAAATATTCATTTTTCTTAATTATGACTTGATTTAAATTACATTATTCAATGCCATGCTATGGTCAAAGGCGTCCGAGATATCAAAACAATGTGCATATTTGGATAGGATGAAGTAAGACACGATTTGGTTTTGTGATGCGGAAAAAATGGAGACATGATGATGCTTAATTTATTTAATGGAAGTATCGCAGGACGAAATTTGGGGATGTAAGTAATATTTGGCTTTGATTACTGAATTGATGTGAGCATGTGTTCGGTAGCATTGAGACCTTACTATCCAACTAATTTTAGTCCACGAGTTCAACGAACATTCAAGTATAAGGATTGCAAGAGATAGCGATTACGAGTATTTATTCATTGTGTTTAAATGTTGGGGCTAAAAAAACTGCAAATTGGCTCTAGCAATTTGCGGTGTAAACTGCGATTCGGGAATGGATTTAAATTCTAAGTGTCGAGTACTTTGTTTAGATAGGCAGATTGTGAGAGTTGATGAGGCAACAAAGTGTGTTGGCCCTTCATAACTTTGTACATGTTTCTTTGTTTTAGTGAGAATAAAGATGGATTGATGTCCGTAAAATCTGTGTTTGTTTACTTTAATTCAATAATCTACATTTACTTAGTCAAAATCAATGAGTTTTCATATCAAGAATTGCATCGACATATATTAGTTGGTTGAGAACAAGGAAACTTGGCAACCTCGCAAGTTGAACGAGTTAGTCCTATGACAATTGGTATTAGAGCATCAGGTTTAAATGGTGGAAACGAACTAGACATGTTTTTGCAAGTTGATGGCAAAATAGTAAGATGGCTACAAGTCAAAATCTAAAAGATCGAGTTAGAATGCTTGAGGATTTCCTAGCTGCCCGGATGTTAAATATTGTTGTCGTTAGGTGGCACCAGCGGAGGAAATGAAGTAAAATTCAGAGAATATGAGCTAGGTTTTCGAAAAGTCGAACAAAAAGTTTACGTCCACACTAGGGACATTGTTTCTTCTCGCCTTGGGTTGCTGGAAGGCGAAGATATGTTGTTGAAACGGGCAACTCTTGCTCCTAGAGACTCAGGGTAACCTCAAAAATCAAAGTATGGTCGTACCTAATGTGCCAAAGAGTTGGAAAATTTTCTTCGAGTCATGATGCAATATTTTAAGGTAGCACATGTGCTAGAAGAAGACCAGGTGGACATCGCGAGCATGCGAAATTGTGATGGAGAACTCGATTGCAGGAAGATGAGACTGCAAGCAGGCCTTGAAATTTTGACTTGCGAAAAGCTAAAGAAAGATTCCCTAGTTCCTTCCCTTCAATCCAACTTATTTAATGTGTGTGTGGGGGGGGGGGGGGGGGGGCAGTTTCAACCCAACTGGGTCTAAAAAATTACAAAACTGATTCTAACAGTTTCAGTGTAAATTGCAACTCGGGGAAGCCTTTAAATTCTCAGTGTTGAGTACTCTGATGTAGTAAGAAAAATTGTAAAATTTGATGAGGCAACAAAGTATATCCAGAATTTTATACACATGTATTGCCTTGCCGAGGATGGAAAAGCTCGGTGCGATCGCTAGGAGTTGAATGAGTCAGCGCTTTGGCAGGGCCTGAAGTGAGCCTTTGATTGTAGTTGGATCCATCCAGGCTGAACCAACAATTTTAACCTCTAAGAGGTGTGACATAACTTGTTCATTATGTTTTTCTTTGAGTTTTCATTTTCTCTCTATTATTTAAATTTTAAATCCAAGTCGAGACGTGTACATTTCTTTGGCTCAATGGAGTGACAAGAAGCAAGCCAGTGGTCCACACAATATCAGTGGCCATTAGAGAGCTGAGGATGTCCAATTCAAATGCCGAATGAGATTTTTCATAGCCACGTGGCAGAATAAAGACCTCTATTTCACTCTCAAGAAAATCTCAAGGGAAATCTAAATCCAATACATGAACCAATCAGATTGTTCTGAGATGTAGATATTGCAATCCACTAATCTTCTAATTCCCATATATAAACACTCTTCTCCCATCCTCTTTAACCATCCCAACAAAGCAGAAAGCAAATCACCGCAACAAAGAAAGAAACTCACGAGCAAAAACATGGCAACTTCAGCAATCCAACAATCTGCATTTGCAGGCCAGACAGCCTTGAAATCCCAGAATCAGCTCATCAGAAAGGTTGGCAACCTCGGAGGTGGCCGCTTCACCATGAGACGTACTGTTAAAAGTGCTCCCCAGAGCATTTGGTAAATTCTAGCTCAACCTGCGCATACACATGCACAACTACAGCTTAAACTGTTAGCTACGGCCACACTTCAGAATGCTCCCTAATTTCATAAAGAAATTGATCTTAGAGAAAACATGCTACACAAACACTCATGCATATGATTCTAGCAGTTTTAATAGAAATTGATCTCGTTAAAGTAAATTTTACTCCTATTAGATTGATCAACAGTACATATTATAATGATAATAAAGGATCCGTTCACCAAGCACTTAATTGTGGTTTCCAAGAGGAAATTGTACCCAACTCACATTTGAACAACATATATTTTGGGTCACAGGTTCCTAACCTCAAATTCCTGTCTTATTTTCTTGTTACAATCAAATTTGAAGGCAATTTAGATTTATCTCATCAAATCTCAACTGATGAAACAGGTACGGACCTGACCGCCCCAAGTACTTGGGTCCATTCTCTGAGCAAACTCCATCATACCTCACTGGTGAATTCCCAGGTGATTATGGTTGGGACACAGCTGGACTATCAGCAGACCCTGAGACATTTGCCAAGAACCGTGAGCTTGAGGTTATCCACTGCCGTTGGGCCATGCTCGGCGCATTGGGCTGTGTTTTCCCAGAAATCCTTGCCAAGAATGGTGTCAAGTTTGGTGAGGCTGTTTGGTTCAAGGCTGGAGCTCAGATCTTCTCAGAAGGTGGCCTTGACTACCTTGGCAACCCAAATCTCATCCATGCCCAAAGCATCCTTGCTATCTGGGCTTGTCAAGTTGTGCTCATGGGATTTGTTGAAGGATACAGAGTTGGTGGGGGCCCACTTGGTGAGGGGCTCGACAAAATCTACCCTGGAGGAGCCTTCGACCCACTTGGGTTGGCAGATGATCCTGAAGCATTTGCCGAATTGAAGGTAAAAGAAATCAAGAATGGACGACTGGCTATGTTCTCAATGTTTGGATTCTTCGTCCAGGCCATTGTTACTGGAAAGGGCCCAATAGAGAACCTCTTTGACCACATCGCAGATCCAGTTGCCAACAATGCATGGGCATATGCCACAAACTTTGTACCTGGGAAATGAATTACATTAGTGTATACATCTCATGCATAACAATACCAAAATGTTTTGTCTATCTCGATGAAGTTCTGTGGCTCGTCTGGCATTGAGCAGAATTGATGTAATGTTTCATGCAGACACGAATTTATCTCTTAACTACCATGGTTGCAGCGCTTTTTTAACATACCCACACTCACCACTACACCATATATTGTGTATCTGAACTACCTTCAGAAGTTGAGAAACAGAATGATAGCATATTTTAAGAATCACACCCCAAATTGTTAGGACAATATAAATCTTCTTTAATTGTCAGGTAAAAGTTGTATCATTGCTCAAATAAGCATTTCAGCAATGAAGTAAGTTTCGACAAACACAAAAACAAAAGAATAAGCTATTTCCCCATCATAGACACTGATAATGCCATTTACAGTACACTATGAACCAAGAACCAATAATCACAGAGTAACAAGCCAATCACAAGATAGCATGTTCAGAATCCTATAAATAACACAGACAATTGTTAGCATATAATTGTAAAGCATCATCTTCAATTATACAAGATACAACCTTCAAAATTTTCATATGTGATTTAAATAAGAAGGCCCCAATTAATTGGAATGCGCTATGTAACCTACAATATTCTTTCAGAACCTAAACACTGCATTATATGAAAAAAATGAACTTTACTAGCAGAAATTGAACTAAATAAACAAATCTATGGAAGCTAACTCTTGGGTTCGTAGTTTTTTCAAGTAACAAAGTTCAGTTCCCCCATTGACCTATACTGCAGGATGTGAATTGGATAAAGCCCCAATCGGATGCCTTTCCAAATTGCACTAGCACAAGGTAATGTTTTATTTCTTGCAACGAGTTTCCCAGTTCCATTATTTTCAATGCACTACGCATCTATGATAAATCACGAAGGTCAAGCAGAGGACTACAGAAGAATGCCAAGTCCACGACCTGTTGAAGCCTAGAACGCTAGAGATTTATTTGCATTATGTTTAGCATTCAGTCTTACATTTCCGTTTGCACGTTTATTCTGTTTTGCATTACTGCTCTGTTACCTATTTCTTAGGAAGTACCAGGCCATTTATTTCTACACGTAAGTTGAACATGCTTGTTAGGCTTTGCTTATATAAACCACATTTTCAGTTGCAATAAAGAATCAAGCATTCAATTCAGCAAATTGTGGCCCTGTTCTCACCCTAAGAGAATTCTAAATTCAGTGTGAATATCAGCTTCTAACTGGGACCTATCAATCTACAAAACATGAATAAAAACCTTATAGAAACCAATTTATGGCAAATCGGATAACATTCAAAAATTGAAAACTTATTTTGGGAGAAAAAAATAAATAGTTAAATTTGATTTAATCTATTTTCAATCCATGTTTACTAGGCAAACATAAGAAGTTCTTTTGTTAGACCCTTCAAGAATAAGTCAGAATAGGGTCAAGCTGTCAGACTGGGTATTGGCGTGAAAAATGTTCAAGATCTGGATGACAGCTCTATAATTTTTTCTTCTTTATCATCATTATTTCCTTCACCTTCCTCCAGGCGTACATATTTTACTACTGACTTATTTAAAGTCTTCAACACTACAACTTTTTACGTGAGAAAGGGTGGTGGATAGTCTTAGTAGAAGATAACAAAGTTAAAAGGGACAGCAATGGTCAATAAACTGCAGCCATTTAAGATAATTACTTGTTTAAACAGTCGTTAAACCAAGAACATGAGTCACTAATTCAACTGGCGGTTCAAATTTTTCGACTCGTCAGTTACAAAATACTAACATTTTATAAAAATGATCAAAAGACTTCAAAAAACACTACCCGGAATAGGAGTCCTGGCTAGTTTGAGCTGGAAGACGAGACGAACAAGTCAAAAGAGCAGGTTCGGGCATTTGCTCATATAATCTCACTAAAAAGGGAGCCATTTTCATTGTTACAGTCTTGGTGCTTTAGGCATAGGGAAAATGCTTATCCGTTGTTGTCAACTCTGAACGAATGCTTGAATCAGTTTCATTAAGAAAGGCGAAAAAGACTAGAGAAGCTCAGAAAAACTATTAAGTGAACACTTTTTAGTATAATACAGCGAAAAACTAAGTCATAATCATTCAAAAACTCAAATTTGATTTATATAGATAAATTTATGATATGTATATCAAGTTAATCATAATCATTCATTAAGGAAAAAAATTTAATAAAGAACCAACAGAGCTTTAATTGAGACAGGTCATCCAATTTTTTGAAGAACCTGGACAATTCTTTAGTGTCGTGTTGCTTCAGACCAAAACTTTGTTGACCCTATTTTTAGTTTTCTTGCAGAGATTAAATAACGAATGCTGTAAAATAATGAAAAATATGCACTCATTGCAGATGGATATGATAGGCAGAGTTCTATGAAGAGTGTTACAATGTTTTTATACATGATAGGCAGATGTTTATGGAAAAATGCTTATTGATTGGTCAAATTCATGTTTGATTTTTAATCTTCTAAATGAGAAATGCAAGTTGTATTGTCAAGTGGCAAACTAACTTAAAAAATCTATAAATAGGCCTCAGGATGTGTTCATACTATATATGTGTTTAATAAGTGAGTGCCAAAAACAATTGAGCACTAAGTGAGGATTTGAGAAAGATAAAAGTTTGTTTTTGAGAGAAATAGAAAGTTTGAGATACTTTGTAACTCATATTTGAAACTTATCTTGTAATCCATTGTTGTTATTTTATAGTAGAGCCACATTATTTCTTAAGTGAATACTTTGTCCAAGTTTTAATATTTTTATTATCATGGGCAATCTTCCCAAACACTTAGCTCTTGCAAAGTGCAATAAATGTAAATATGGAACAATTGGGGTTAACAAAGTCACTTACCTCATAGGAGTCATCTTGAATAACGTCATTATCAGGAGTATTAATAGGCTTCTATCTTTCCTTCCCTCATTCTAAAAAAGCTCATCCTCCCTAATATATGGGTCTCAACTGAAATCAGTAAAATGACACCTGCAATGAAGACCAATGGACTCATGCATTTTTGTTCACAATTAGTGAAATTTGCAGTAAGGAAGATTGACAACATTTTTGGATTATGTGATAACATAGCACTATAACCATAAGGATGCATCTTCTTTTTTCCCCAGCATGCAAACAGTAACGGACTCCATAAAATGCATTCATTTATTTCATAGAAGATTGTCATGTGAAAGTGAGACAAAGTTAGAGGCTGCTTGGTCAGTGTCAGAACAAGAAAAAGAACGATAATCACTCCAACAATACATGCTACAATGGAAAAGGTGCAGGCGACATGACATGGAAGTTCTTGAAATAATTGAATTCAAAACTGCCAAGGCACACAATAGAGAGAATTACTGACCAAATTCATCACCTAATAATATGAATATAAGCAAATAACAATCATTCCAAGACATAATATGGCAAAAGGAATGAATTTAACAAGTTCAATAAACATCAATGTGCATTAAAACTCATTATATTTCGAAGCAATTGCTCGGAAACTTTATGTTTCATTATAATATGATTGTATATCATCCATGTCTAGTACTTCTAATGTACGAATTAGATGTGTCCTTTCCCTTTTTGGAAATATTTGCCTCTCTTGCGCAATCTGATGGCAAGAAAGCAAATTGATTAATTAAAAATTATCAGCACCCATTTGAGCCCCATTCTTTAAAACTCATTTTTACCCAAACTCATTTTAAATATATGGGTCTCAACTGAAATCAGTAAAATGACACCTGCAATGAAGACCAATGGACTCATGCATTTTTGTTCACAATTAGTGAAATTTGCAGTAAGGAAGATTGACAACATTTTTGGATTATGTGATAACATAGCACTATAACCATAAGGATGCATCTTCTTTTTTCCCCAGCATGCAAACAGTAACGGACTCCATAAAATGCATTCATTTATTTCATAGAAGATTGTCATGTGAAAGTGAGACAAAGTTAGAGGCTGCTTGGTCAGTGTCAGAACAAGAAAAAGAACGATAATCACTCCAACAATACATGCTACAATGGAAAAGGTGCAGGCGACATGACATGGAAGTTCTTGAAATAATTGAATTCAAAACTGCCAAGGCACACAATAGAGAGAATTACTGACCAAATTCATCACCTAATAATATGAATATAAGCAAATAACAATCATTCCAAGACATAATATGGCAAAAGGAATGAATTTAACAAGTTCAATAAACATCAATGTGCATTAAAACTCATTATATTTCGAAGCAATTGCTCGGAAACTTTATGTTTCATTATAATATGATTGTATATCATCCATGTCTAGTACTTCTAATGTACGAATTAGATGTGTCCTTTCCCTTTTTGGAAATATTTGCCTCTCTTGCGCAATCTGATGGCAAGAAAGCAAATTGATTAATTAAAAATTATCAGCACCCATTTGAGCCCCATTCTTTAAAACTCATTTTTACCCAAACTCATTTTAAAAAAAAAAAAAAACACTTTTTACAAAATCCATTCTCCAAAAACGGGGCCCAAACAGGGCTCAATATCCTGGGTCTAATGGAGTGGAAGTCTTTGATAGTAAGCTATAATTCCCATGCACCAGCTCATATTTTAAATTTTGAACTGTTCATTTTCACTAATTGACAATTGATGAAGTATTTAAGTTTTAACCATATTAATAAGATGACAAGATTTTTCAGTCAAGGTTTCCAATAATGACACCGATTGTGCACTCCAAGATCATGTTTCAGTGAACTTCACTGTATGGAACACAAATTTATAGTTCTGTAAGCAATCTCCATATATGATAATCAGTACATGAAACCATGTGCCTGCCATGTACAGGAAGCACATGAGATATAGATGCTAATTGACAAAGCAATTACCATGACATTAAGATTAATAATTCTATCAAATAAAAATTGAGGCCTGAAATAGGATTGATTATGACTCTTAATGTTTGAAAACAGAATAAAAGACCTCGCATTTCTAGTAATGAGGGCATGCATCCACAGAAAAGAAAAAGTGAAGTAAATAAATGACTAGCAGACAGCACAAGGAATTGTAGTGTAGGTGACATATAAAAATAAAAAGCATATGGCAACAAAAAGAAAATTACACTGGTTATGCTGTAAGGACGAAAAAGGCGCAAGCATGAATCCTCCAAGGTCTGAGAAATTGCATAATGTACTGGACCGTATCTCAGGACATACATCCACCATGTGAAGATTTTGCGTACAGCCAAAAGACTAGCTCTCCTAATTGGGGGTATAGCTAAAACACAATCCTAATGTCATGTTAGGATCTAATAGTTGTGGAATTCAATCACCCTCAAGCCTGGGCTTTTGGGAGAGATGGTTGGGTCTCCATCAATTGGTATCAGAGTAGACCCAAGCCACAAGTTCGAATTCCGGAAGGGGCGACCAAAACTAAGTGCCAAATACCGGCAGTCAAATAATGGCCGGCCACGTAAAGCAAAGGTCATGGATTGGGCCGCTGTGGCCGTCAGATTTGGGGCCATTGGGTATTGTTAGGGCCTAATAGTTGTGAGATTCAATCACCCTCAAACCTGTGCTTTTGGGAGTGATGGTTGGGTCTCCATCATGTTATTAGTTGAACAAACTGAAACAAGACCTTAATGTGAGACAGCATAATTCTCAATCACCAATAGTCGTTGCATGAACATGACCCATTTTTGAAATGATGGAACCTGCTATTATCTCTCACAATAATTACACGTTCATAGATCTTGGACAGAAACTTCATCACAGAATGGCAGTCGTTACAAACTCTAAGGTTCTTCACCACACGAATGTGATTTTTTCGGTCAACGTTTATAAGGCCGAATGCGATAGCCAACCTCTCACTATGGTTTTCCAGTTCAGCTTGTTTCTCTTTCTCCCCTTCAACAAATAATAATACTTGAGTCGTATCAGGAACATGTCCCGCTAGTCTCAACTTATTCTTCATCTCACTCAATTTCGAATATATCAATTCAGATTGAGGATGGGATTTGTCTCCTACCATGAATTCATGAAGCACACCCTTGTGTTCAATTGAACTACACCCTGGTTCTTTCTTAAACCCTCTCCTCTTCATCATTTCTCTAACCAGCGAAACTTTTTCCCACTGTCCTGCAACAGCATACATATTAGAAAGGAGTACATAGCACTGAACAGTTTCAGGAGCTAACTCGATCAAGTTCTTTGCTGCATATTCACCAATATCAATGTTTCTATAATTTCTTGCACTGCTAAGTAAAGTCATCCATATTATCTTGCTTGGCTTCATAGGCATCTTTTCAATGGTACTCTTTGCCTCATCAAGATGACCAGCTCGACAAAGAATGTCCACCAAGCAACCATAGTGCTCAACAGTTTGTTCTATTCCATACTCATTTTTCATCATAGAAAAATAACGCCGACCATCATCCACCATTCCCACATGACTACAAGCATTCAAGACTCCAACAAATGTAATGGCATTAGGCTTAATTCCATTCCTTTGCATTTCAAGAAACAAGTCAGTTGCATCAGGAGCCATACCATGCATCCCCAATCCTACAATAATGGCTGTCCAATGCCCCAGCTTCTTCTTGGATATTCCTCGAAAAACCATCAAAGCACTCTCAATGCTCCCACACTTGGAGTACATTTCTATCAAAGATATACCAAGTACACCATCTAATCTATACCCAGCTTTTGACATATACGAATGCACCCACCTACCTTTACTAAGCGAAGCCAACTTCGAAATTGCAGAAAGTACACTAACTATCGTCACATCATTAGCCTTGAGGCCCTTATCCAACATCACCTGAAACATTCGCAGAGCTTCCAGAAACTTACCATTTAATTCATACCCAGAAATTATCGAATTCCAAGTGATTATATTTCTCTCGTCCATTCTATCAAACAAATCACCTGCGAGTTTATAGTTTCCATACTTCATATACCCATAAATCATTGCATTCCATGAAGCCACATTCTTATCCAACATACTATCAAACACCTCTCTTGCTTCGTCAACTCTTCCACTCTTGGCCAACCCATCAATCAACACAGTACATGAGAAGGCATCCTTTTCGGGCATCTCATCAAACAGTCTCAGAATAACCTCAATATTCTCCCCACCACACTTTACGTAACCATCCAACAACACATTCCATGAAACCAAATCCTTCACAAGCATTTTATCAAAAACTTTCCGTGCAGAATCAATATCACCACATTTTGAATACAAACTCACCAAACTACTCTCCACATGAACACCCGAACCAGACCCAAAACCGAGTTTCAACGCCAACCCATGAATCATTTTCCCTTCCTTAATAGTCCTTAGATTCGCACACGCCTTGATCACACACGGTAACGTGAACTCGTCTGGCAACATCCCCGGACAACAAAGCAAATCCACAAAAACCACAAGAGCATCCTGAGAGCGACGGTTTTGAAGGAAGCATTTGATAATGGTATTGTAAGAAAAGAGAGCCTTCTTAACGAGTTTTTCATTGTTATAGATACTGCTCTGATTGTTGTTGGAAAGGGTTGTTGAAGTGAAAATGGGTTGAGCGTGGAGTAGGGTTAATTCTTTTGCGTTTGAAGTTTGCTGGAGAGAGTGTCGGCGATGGAATTCCGGTGAGAGGCGAGGTTGAATAAGGCTGGGATGGAATGATGCGGCCAGTTGCAGCATTTCTGTGCCCGCGTTACATCGGCGATGCCGACTTGACGTTTAAGAAAGGGGATGAGTTAAACCCATTAAACCCAGTACCCGCGGACTTCGACCCGTCTCGACCTGGGACGGGTACAGTATCAATCGCCCCATTCCATTTGATATATAATTGGGCAATTTACAAAAATACCCTTAAAATTATAGGTGTTTTGAAAAATCATATAAAAAGTATAATGTGTAAAATTAAAAAGTGACATAATGTCACTTTTTTTATAAAAAAATTATCACTTTTTTCACAATTCAAAATAAGTGACACAAACACTCAAAAAAATGACAAAAACTAAAAAAAAAAGTGACAAACACCAAAATAGCACCAATCATTTGTGTAGCACCAATAATCATGTTCTTAATATATCCATAATGTCCAGGACAATTCATATGACAAATGATAAGAAAAAATGACAAACACTAAAAAAGTGACGTCTACTTAAAAAGTGATACAAATTGAAAAAAGTGACACATTGAAAAAAGTGACAAACATTCGAAAAAGTAATGAAAAATTCAAAGAAAGCGACATTCTCTCACAAAAGTAACACAAATTTTTTTTTTAAAAAAAAGTTCCGAAAAAAGTGACAGAACACATTTGAAAAAGTGACAAAAAAATCAAATAAATTGACATACAATAAAAAAGTGTACAAATTCGGGAAAAAAAGGTGTCGAAAAATTAGAAATGTAACAAAAATTCAAAAAAAAAAAAAGTGACAAGCATTCGAAAAGTGATAAAAATTCAAAGATAGTGACAAAAACTCGAAAAAGTGACAAAGTTCAAAGAAAGTACCGTAAACAAAAAAATTGGCACAAATTTTAAAAAAAAAATAAAAATGACGAACACTCAAAAAGTGACAGAAATAAAAAAAAAAAAATAAAGTGACAAAAATAGACACAGTAACAAAAAATCGAATAACTATAGAAATGTCACTAAAGTTCAAAATAATGACAAACACTATCACTTTTTTTAAGTCACACAATATCACTTTTTAAAGTTATGTATGATATACAATGTCATTTTTATTAAAAGTGATGTTTGTCACTAAAAAAAGTAACAGAAATTCAAAAAAGTGACAAGCACTCAAAAAGTGATAAAAATTCAAAAAAGTGACACAACCTCCTTTCTTCTCTTTCTCCGTTCATCGTCAAGCATTTTTAAATTAGTTTACTAACAAAATACCAATTAAAATATCAAGTATCTTTAAATTAATTCACAGCCATCGTTATCTTACAACTCAACTACTCAACTAATCCATTGACTTCCACTTGATGAAGATCCCAACATGAGAATAAGCTGAGTTTTTTTTTTTTTCCCATCTCCGTTGCTAGAAGAGGCCATCGCCTACACCAGATTCAACCACTCCTTCACCGCCACCAAAATGCGAGAAATTTCAAAAAAAATATGATTGAAAAAAAAAGTGACACATACCATTAAAAAGTGACGAAAATTCAGAAAGGTGACAATTAACAAGTTATATAAGCGTGTGTATTTGAAAATTCAAATAAAAAAGATATGCAACACAATCTTATTATAAAATTATCTCATGGGTGCTTATTACTGGAAGAGCTTAACTGTAAATGGATAGAGCATAACAAGGCACTACAAATGATTAGGAACATACTAATGTACATGGACAGAACTTTTCATACCGAACACTCACAAAACTCCAGTAATAAGCTTCACAAAGCCCTACCATGAGGGCCAACTCAAGATCCCAATCAAATTTCGCAATTCAGAACCAGAAAAAATTAAGAGTTTGACACAGGCAAACCTTTGTGCTACAGTCAGAAGGATTGGGTTTGCAGAGCCTCACGTATATATCTTTCTAACCCATGCTAAACAAGCCTTGTTCAGACATTTTGCTTAAAATAAAGGGGTAGTTGGAGGGCAATTTGTGGACACAAATGAAATTTGAATAGCCCGGTCGATCCTAGCTTGGCAATCTCCGATGGGTCCAAGTAAGAGAGAATAGAGATGGGGTGGTAATATGGTAACAAGATTGGCGAGTGGGCTGCGGAGGGAAGTTTGAGGAAGGCAATGAGAGATGATGAATTGGGACAGTGAGAGGAGAGATTGAGAGAGGAGGGTTTTGAATATCTCCCTTTATTACACCGTATTTAATATGTAAAAAGAAAAGGTTAAAAATGTTAGGTGCATTAATCAATTTTAAAACATCCAGGTCGTACTGGGCCTAATTTGCTCAATATAATTTTTAAAATATTACAATTTACAAATTGACAAATATCTCTCGAACCAAAATATTTTTAATCAGCCCAAGCCTGGGCCCAAGCCCAAGCCCAAGCCCAAAAACCAAATACCAATCACCACCATTTACCAAACAAAATTAAGCATTTAAGTTTGAGAGATTTTTTCTTCCACAAAAAGCTGTCGTCGACTCGCTGTTCAACAGACTCTTGCCATCAAAGTGTTTTGGCGATTCATTTATTACCTAAAAGGCTAGTAGCTTTTGCAATGGTGTGTTCTTTGGGGATTAATTTACATATGAGCAATCCATAAAGTGCTTTTGCAATGGTGTGCGTGTAATAAACAGGGCACGGATTCCTTCCCTCCTCGACTTGCCCCGCCCTAAACGGGTATGGGGTGGGGAATTACCCATTGGGTTGGGGGTGGGAAAAGGTCGACCCGAGCCAGAGGCTAGCTTGTGTCGCAAGCCACGAGCCGACCCTTGAATTCTCAAAAAAAAAATAATAAAAAAAAAATTAAAAAGCACCCGCAGGTTACATTTTAAATGCAGCAGTAAATAGCTACATTTTAAGGCTACAACAAGCTGCATGTAAAAGGCAACAATTGTAGCAAAATATAATTATAAAAAAATCGAGCCTCCTAAACTTGGTTCAATAAGGTCAAAGTCGAAAGCTTGAATCGAGCCTAAATT